CTTCTTCTTCTTCTTCTTCTTCTTCTTCTTCTTCTTCTTCTTCTTCTCCTTCTCCTCCTTCTCCTTCTCCTCCTCCTCCTCCTCCTCCTCCTTCCTCCCCTTCTCCCCCTTTTCCTTCCTTCTTCCTTCTTCCAATGTTTTACCTCTGATCCTTGTGGGGGGTCAAACTAACACATCCTTACAAAACTTTATTTAGCCAGGATATCAAACATTGCTGTTGGTTGGAACAGGAGCCGGCGAACCAGGATCCTGGGTAGCCACGATTTCATAAACCAATCCCATCTTTTCAGAGAGTGAGTTTGCAAGCCTGGCTGGCTTTGGGTCTTTGGCAAATTTGGGCAAGCTGAAAGGAGATAAAAACCTCCTGGTGCAGAGGCAGTCTACCTCGCTTGCCACCCCCAGCCTAGTTTCTGCCTCTGATCTCTTCTTCCACCCACGTCTTAATTTCCACCTTTCTTGTTCCTTCCCATTGAGAAAATCAGTACACAGAAAGCTAGCAGAAATATGGAATTTTTATTTTTGTTTATTTATTTATTTTGCTCTTATTTCATCCATGATACAGGAAAAAAAAGGGAAAAATGAGATGACAAACGACGGAGGCAGGGGGTTGGGAAAGCCATTTTACCTGCCAGGTGCGGCAGGGCGGGGCAGGGCAGGGCCGACTGGGGGATGATGGTTGCAAGTTTGCAATTTAAGATGGATCTCCCAATGCTTGGTCGTTCGGCGTGTTGGCTTTGAAATTGGTTGGATTTGCAGCTGGGCCACATCTGCAGAAACTTTTCTGGATTGTCTCGAGGAGTTCCCGTTGCCCTCAGCTCCTACAATAACCAGTCTGGTGGGTTTGGAATAACAAAAACGGGAAGGGACCTTGGAGGCTATCTAGTCCAACCCCCTGCTCAAGCAGGAAACCAAAAGGGAATCCGGAAATAACTAGATTGACACCGAGGATAGGGGTATGCTGGGCCCAAACATATGCCTTGGTTTCAGAGAAAGGCGATTGCATTATGGAGTGGATTAGATGATCTTCAGGGGACCCTCCGACATTCCAATTCTGCAATCCTGAATGTCTCCAACTGCTGTGTAAAGTTACCCCACTTCCCAAGAGGCAGTATAAACCCCAATTTCTATTTTTAAGACGCTCCTATGGATGTGATTCCCCCCAATTCTCTTTCGTGTCAAAATTCTGGGCTTTTAAATCCACCCACCCCGTTTTGGATCCATAACTTTTTCTGCAACTACCGGTCCTTAGTTTCACAGAAAGTAGATTTTTAAGAACGCAAAACGAACACAGGAAACAACGAGCGAAATCTGAGTTTTCAATTCAATTTATCACATTCCGGTTTTGGCAGCGATATATAAAATTATACGTGCAACTTTTTAAATATATATTTATATATATATATAATATATATATATATATACTTTATATATATTTAACAGAATGTTGAAGACATTTTCGAGGTACACATTTGAAAATGAGAGGTTTTGGGGGCTTTTTCAAAGCAAAATTCTCAGCCTCTAATTTAAACCAAAAAAACAAAACCAAAAAACAAAACAGAAGTACAGAATTGGAGCCTTAAAACAGTCCCAGGATGAAACGCTGCCAACATCAGAGCTGAAAATTAAAAATATTCTGGATCAGGAGAATCTTTTGTGATTTTTTTTTTTTCAGAGCTCAGTTAAAAAAACAACAACAAAGCTTTAAACTGTAAGAAGGTTGTAAAGTTTGGCGTCGGGAGCTCTGAAAATTAAAATTTGAGAAGTCTTTAATTTTTTTTCTTTCTTTAAAACCCTGAAATTTCTGTCTTCTGGCTCCAGGGTTGAAATATTTCTTGGTATCAAGACAAGAAGAACCTAGGTTAGGCAAATCGAGTGGATCAAATGAGGTCCCCCACCCCACCCCAAATAATTAACACTGCATGGAATAATACATTTGAGATCGCCCAGCGCTTCCTTCTGGGCAGTGGGTCCACGGTCGTCTTTTGAACTCGGCTCAGCCTCTTCACTTCTTCCCTTTCGGCATGCGGCATCCCTTGGCAGCGTCTCCCATTATGTCCCAGTATTCTCCAAACTGGAGTTTGGCTTCTTCGTTATCTCCCAGGCATTCGATCTTCTCATCCAGAGGCTCAACTCCCTGATAGGGTGAGGGGAGAAACACAGAAGCAGAAAAAATTAAAAAAGGAAGAATAAACAGATCTTAGGCCTGCTGTTGTTGTTTTTTTTTAAAAAAAAACCTCCCCAGTTTTGAGATTTTTGTTAAATGATCAGACTGGGGGTGATGCTTTTTTTATATATATGCATTCCTTGTATGGACTTAATCTCTTGCTTAAATTTTATTTTACAGTCCGTTTGCTGCATTGTGGGGCTGAATGGATTAAATGATAAGAATCTTAATAGCAACTATTTTCAGTAGGTTGTTTATAGCCAGTTATTAATTAGTGCACGTTTTTGCAAGCAATGTATTTTTTTGATGTGCAGCTTTGGTCATCTTTATTATTTTTTTGGCACACTTCTCTGTTCTTTAATGGATATTTTCTTGGGCATATTTTGAGCGGTAAAATCTAGAAAGTAGTCCCTTGTCAAACTGAGGCTCGGTCTCTACCTTATTTTAAAGTCCTGAAATAAAACCTTATCTATAATAATTATTATGAGTTGACATTAACTTGACAGCACTTAATCCATTTGAAAATGTAGTTTAAACTCAACTCTAACCACTAAACTCTAACCTCTAACCTCTAATCGCTAAATTCTAACCTCTAAACACTAAAACCCTAACCTCTAAACACTAAACACTAAAACCCTAAAACCCTAAACCCTAAACTAAACTAAACTAAAGTAAATCATTCCAGAATATAAAGAAGTTTTCAAATAAATTGCCTGCCTTCATGCAGAAACCGTGTACATTTGCATTAAAATGCAAACTAGACTTTATTCTCTTGAAATGCAACTGGGATTTTTGCGTTGAAACACAATCTGGGGGTTTGCCCCAGCAGGAAAAAACAACAACAACCAATTTCTTTTCATTTGGAAAAGGAGATTTTTTGCAACCTAAAGAGAACGCACGGCGGGGCCTTTTCAGCGGTGGCCCCAAACGCAGGAATTTCTGACCAAGGGAATTCAGAGAAAGACTTCCGAGCAGGATTTCAACCAGCCGAACGGCTTCTTGGGGGATTTATCGGTGCCCCGATTCCCCTCTTCGACACCGGGCGTCCCGGCGATGTTGATCTCACCTTGGCTAAGTGTGGTAGCCTCTGTCCAACCAGGTCTTTCAACTCGTTGGGCGTCAAACATTCTTTGTGTCCCTTGACGGCGTAACAGTGGAAGTTGTTGATGACAATTTCGATGGCCCGTTCCACATCGGTGAGTTCTTGGCAATCCTGCATAGCAGGCGAGGAGACAGGTGGGAAGAGAAGGAACAGGTAAGATCCATCCCGGCCACGTCATCCCCGTGTACAATCTCTTCCAAAGTTGTCCAACCTGCTAGGCTCCTTCCTACACAACTGCACCCTCCCCGAAACACTCAGCTCATTAAGGCATCCAAACTTTTTTACGCCAAAGTCTGGGACATGGTTTCGCAAAAGGGAAGAGATGTCACTCGTTAGCCTAAGAAAGCCCCAGAGGATCCCGACAATTTCAACAAAACAGAGGGTGGAAAAAGATCCAGAAAAAGAACAAACTGCACAGTGCAGAACAGATAGAAAAAGGGAGCAGAATAATAGGTGTGTGTGTGTGGAAATCCAATTTTCTTTGGTGGAGGAATAGGAATAAAACGCATTGGTTCCTTACTCTCAAATCAACATTAAAGCAGAATATTTTTGTTGCAATATCAGGTTGTCGACTGAGACCCAACATACCAAGCAAAGCACATCCACTTGAGATGATGCGACCTGGGCAGGTAACTCATTCAGACAATGTCTCCTTTGGACTTTTTGCAAGGAAAAGTATCAAGCTGGGAGAGGATTGGGAGCCAAAAAAGAATTTCTAAATATTTTTGAAAGTCTTTCAAAACTTGGGAGGATGGATGGAATTATTTTTGTGTCCCTTCTCCCAAAGGAGAGATATTTCATCTGAATCCCTCACCTGAAACCATTTTTTTAAATTACTTTGGCTTAATACCAGCCAGGATGCCTCTCAGTGTTGGCTTAACACAAGCCAGGATGCCTGTCGAGAAAGAAACCACTGTAACAGGATGAAAGGGTAAATAGTTGTCAAAGCCCAAGATCAAGACTGCGCCTTTTATATCTCCTGATCAAATCCACTTGTTTCTGGTAGCATTTGCTGCACACCTGGTGTGCAAATTTCATTTTTTTTCTTAAAAAAAAGAAGAAGAAACATTGAGGAGTTCTCAGCTAGGAGAAAATTTTGCCCGTAGCCACAATGTTTGCAAAATTAGCAGCCATTTTGATTTCCTCAGAATGCCCCAGCTACAGCATCCTTTGGGAAGGATTGTGAGGGGAAATACATCCGCTGGAGCAAAACGATGGAGAAGACTTATATTAAAACAAAATCTGTAAAATGGATTTATTTTTCCGGGGAAAAAGACAATGGAAGAAAGAAGTAAAAATCTATGCTTCAAAGCTTCTTTCTAACCCAAATTTTGATGTTCACCTTTTTTGTTTTGTTTTTCCTAGTTATCCCAAATAAAACTCCTTGCATTACTCATTTCTTTCAGGCCTCTCCGAAGCAACATAAATATTGCAAGTTTCCCAGCCCAGGTGTGGTTGGTTTATTGACATTTAATTGCAAAACCTGCCAAATCAGACGATGGATTTAAACGATAGATCTGAGGCTGAGACAGATGAGAATTTTTTTTTTAAAGGATGGTTTCTTTTGAATGAATCTGAAAGCAAGCGTTTGCAACACCGGCCTGATGAATCTTTCCCAGGATTTAAAGCAAATAATATAATAGACTTTAGGATAGAAATTAACTCCAATCAGCAATGACCCTGGTTAGAAATGGCTCCTTCCAATATTTAGAGTGCTACACATTTTTCTGACATTTAAGAAGAATCTCTTCCTGGATTGTTTTGCATGGAGCTGGGAAAGAAATACATTAAAATAAACAAATTAAAGTCAGAATACATGCAACTTCTGGAGTTTCTCACCAGAAAGACGTGGATTTTAGCCATCTGCAAGTTTAACCCTTGATTCTCAGAAGCTGAAAATGTTAAATTTTGGGGCCATCTTTTTATGACTCCATGCAATGAAGATTTTTAATCAAGTGGAAGAACTTGCTCGGATGCTTAAAAAGACGCAGATGCATCCAGTCTCATTCTTTGAGCCATTTTATCTTGCAAATTAACCGGAAGGGGCAAAGCCAAAGAAAGCGTGGCTGGATTGTTGGTGAATTCTTTTGAACCCAGAACGCGATCCAAATTAAATTCTAAAATATTCCTAATCCATTTGTCTTCTGAAGTTTCCAAAACCCGTTTCCCTTTTTTTCCCCTCTTCTCTTTGTTTCTTGCTGACACGGAGAACAATTGTGACTCAGTGTTCGACTTGGGATTATTTTCAATTCCTGTGGGAAAAACTGAAATCGAAAAGTTGACCTGCTTGGCATGAAGATTTTTTTTTCCTAGCATGGTTTTGGAGCCAAAGATATGGTGGCATTTGATGGAAAAGATTGCTGACTTTTTTTATAGGCCTCCTCTCTCAATATTCTGATTGATTGATCGTTTATATGCCATCATTTTTTATTTCTAGCAATCACATAGATATATTTTCTCCAAGGGCCCCTACCCCAAAAAGCTGGGCTTGCTCCAATACATTCGATTTATTGAGCTTTGCCTTGAATGCAATCCGCTTTGCTAAAGTTTCAAAGAGAGATAAAATGCAAGATAGTGGGAAAAAGAAGAAGAAGGAGAAGAAGAAGAAGAAGAAGAAGAAGAAGAAGAAGAAGAAGAAGAAGTAGTAGTAGTTGTAAGGGAAAGAGAATGCAAAAGAGGAAAAATTAGTCTTCAGCATAGATATATAGTAGAATAATGTCTTGGTTCTTAATGAAAATGGAAGAGTTTGAATGAGAATCAGAAGCAATTAAATTTGAACATCTCTCCCAAAATTTCTGAGTTTTGGCCAAGGAGAACCAACCTCCAGGGCCAAACTGTCTTAATCTTTGGTGATTTTTCTTAATTTTCACCCCTGGGATCGTGAAGCTTCCTGCCACGTGAAGCTCTTATAGCCATGTGTGGACTGAGAACAACCAAGGGGAAAAAAAAAATTAGGGTTTTTCTTCTAAGCAATTCTCCACCAGGTTTTGGAAAGGGGTGACCTTCCTCGTCTGAAAATTAAATTTATCTACTCCCTCGAGCTTCTTCCCCGATCTGGAATTAAGGCATCTTAACTTGGGGCAACGACATTGAAGGTGCCTCCCGTATACCGTGGAGATCTTCTCCAAATTTCACCTCCTCGTGTTGCCTTTCAAGAATACCCTGAAATGAGGCCCATCTTCTTCCTTCTGTCTTTTGTTGCTCACCCTCCCAAAAAACACCCCACAACACACAACCCACCTCACCCCATTTCCCCCTCTCCTTTCACCTTTCGTTTCTTGCCACATCGACAACCCATCGTTCTTCCCCGACAGATTGGACTCTCGGTGTCACCGTCAAAAAAATTCCCTCTAGATAGCAGAGGTGGGTTTCTGGAGCTTGAGAAGAAGTCAAGTGGGGTTTCCTATCACAGGGCAGGAGAAAAAGCAGAAAAAGAATTATTTGTGTGTGTGTGTTTGTGTGTGTGAAACGCTCTTTTTGGTGTCTGCCTTGAAAACTGAGCCATCCCCACACCGTACAGATCTGTTCTGGGCTGCCCTAAACAAGTTTGGAGATGTGAGTTGCCCAAACTTGTCCATCCGAGAAGATTCAGAGAAGAAGGGGAGAGAGGAGGAAAAGCTGCCAAGGAGATGGGGAAGGGAAGGGAAGAAGGGGAGACCCTAACTCTCGAATGGTCCTCACCTTGGTTTTGGGGGGAAGGGGACCTCAAGACAGAAGGCTGACTTACCTGCTCGATAGGGTTTGGAGGTGCTGCTTTCGGTTGTCGCCTTGCCACGGTTTTATACCTCGGGAAGGTGTGTCCGGGAGACACCTTATGGAGGGAGAGATGAGTTGCAAGTGTGGTGCAATCTTCTCCTCCTTTGTGCTGGCTGGCCCCCGGCCAGAAGACAACGCTCAGACGCCACCCATTGCTCTGTCCTTACTCACAGCTCAAGGATGAGCCTGCTTCCTCCCTTCCCCCATGGTCCAAGTTCACCGTTGGCTTGGTTGACTTCGTTGAGATGGTTGAGGAGAAGCACGCCTCACACTGGTGTGTGTGTGTGGGGAACCCACAATCATATTTGCTCCATGGGAAGTCCCGGGCGAAGGTTGGGAGGGGGGGTGCTGTGTGGCTTTGGATTCTCTCCTCACCCTTGTGGGACCTTCTCTAGGAGGACTTGGTGGCTCCTTGAGAGCTTGAGGTTGAAGGGGGCTCTTTAGTGGAGATATCTCCAGCTTTGAGGGTGGCAAAGGGGTTCCCTCATGAGGAAGGGAGGCCTGTTCCCAGGGAAAGAAGTCTCCGTCTGACCAACAGCCCTTTTGGGAAGTTCTCAAGAAGGTCCTACTCATAGAAGGGCATCTCAGTTAGAAGGTTCCAGCGGTTGAGCTGAGAGCAGAACTTGGAGAGCCCCCAGCATTGAAAGCTCTCCACTTTTCCTTCCTGAAGACCTAAATAATATTTATTTATCGGTTCTCTGACGTTGTTTGTCCAGCAGTCCTTATCACAGCTGGACTTTTGGACTTTGTTGTGAGCCAACCAGACAAAGAATCACCTTCTCTGGATAGTTGGTCTGTGATGACCCAAAGGGGTGTGGCACAAAGGCAACACAGTCACATAAGTAAGAAGAGTCCCTTTAATACCTCCCAACTTTGCCCCCAATGTCCAGGTTACCTTCGGCTGGAGAAAAAAAAAAAACTCTCCCCAAAACAGTCTTTAAGTGGAGGAAATTCAGTCCAAAAACAAAATACACACAAACTGTAGCTAAAAATCCACACAAACGATGCTGTAGCAATTAACTGGACAGGGCAGGAGAAGGAATTGCAGACTTGAAAGGCCAACAAAACACACACAGTTGGGAAGATGCCAGGACCCCAGATAAAAGCCTTGACAATACCGGATAATTCACAGTTTGCTCCCAAGAACTTGCTGTGCGCAAACTCCCTTTTTAAACACTGTGTTCCCAGCTGCTGCTAATGAAGGGAATCAGGGCCACGCAACTCATGTTGCTCCCTTCTCCATTGCTCCCTGCGTGCCCTAATCCTGGGGTGTCTGACAAACCATCATTGCAGACCACACAAAGGAGCGACTTAGCAATATGTATATAATTGTAGATCAATGTAGATCAGTGTAAACAAAACGTTTGCTAGTCTTGAATACAGCTCATCAGTCTGGAACCCGCCTTACATATCGGATATTAATACAGTTGAGAAAGTCCAGAAATATTTCACAAGAAGAGTTCTCCACTCTGCTAATAGTTGCAGAAGACCTTATGCCACCAGACTTGAAATCCTAGACCTAGAAAATCTAGAACTACGCCGCCTTCAGTCCGATCTAAGAACAGGATATAAAATCATACATTGCAATGTCCTATCTGTCAATGAATACTTCAGCTTCAACCATAACAACACAAGAGCAAACAATAGATGCAAACTCAAGGTTAATCGCACAAAACTCGATTGCAGGAACTATGACTTCAGCAACAGGGTGGTTGATGTCTGGAATACGCTACCTGACTGTGGTTTCTTCCCCAAACCCCAAAAACTTTAACCTTAGACTGTCTACTATTGACCTCACCCCTTTCCTAAGAGGTCTGTAGGGAGTGTGCATAAGCGCACCAACGTGCCTACCGTCCCCGTCCTATTGTTTCTTTTTATTTTTCTTATTCGTATCCATTTCATGGATTCATAACCATGTTTATACTTATACCTGTTACCCAATAACTGCTTGACAAAATAAATTAGAAAATAAAAATAGAAATAGAAACCATATGCAGCTAGCACTATATTAATAACACAAGGGAAAAAGGAAATTAACTGTTACGCGTCTCTCTATACTATAGTTTGTATGGTCAAAATGATGGCCCAAAAGGTTGCGCTGTGTTCAATTGTTTTTTTAATGTTTATTCAATAAAATTATTTTTTAAAAAAAATTAAATTAAATTAAACGAGCGATTTAGCAAGGTTATTCACTTCGGGATTTGATGCATTGATTTCTCTCTTGTCTCTCTCTCTCTCTCTCTGTCTCATATATCTCTCTCTCTCTCTCTTTCTCTCTCTTTCTCACACCCACCATTTGGGCTCAGCTGCCCTGTCAATTTAGCAGCTGATCCCGTCTCCACGGTGACATAGCATCACCGCCCTGCAGACTCAAATTCTTCGGCACCTATTTCACCCGGCCACAAAATTGCTCCCCGTATCCGACGCGTGCTTGAAGCAACTCAGATGCTTCATATCCGGTTGGCGCCGTTGCGAAGACGGCTCTCATTCCCCAGCGACTCGTCGAGCTGGTCTTCGTGTGATCCAAGGGTTGGTGGAGGCATCTCGGCAGCTTCCAAGAGTCGGTGGATTGGAGAGGTGGTGGGGGGGAGTGTTGACCCTGCCTACCTGGCCTGGCTGGTGGGCGGGGTCGGTAAGTGTTGCCCAACCAGCACCGAGAAGACACAAACCTGGAGGACCAAGGAAGACTTGGGATGAAGTGAAGATGAGATGCTTTCTCCTGGGGCACCTGGTTGGTCCTTCTCCTATGTGATCCTAAAAGTGGGTTGGGATTATACCTTACTAGCTGGATACCTGGGCTTCACTACGAAACTATGCGGTTGGGCATAGTTTGTGTGTTGTTTTTAAATTAAATTTTTTATTTTATTTTTAACATAACAATAAATCCATGCCATTTCGATCGTGTGTCGATTAGATACATATTTCATGGGGTTAACGATTACTACTAATACTCTTCTTAACAGTGTAACCGTATAATAATACTAATCACATTCCCATATATATATAATGTAAGCAATATTCAATATACCTATTGCACTAGTTTCTCTCATTGCTTTATAATTACATCTAATCCCTTTTAATTAATTTTATTTTCTAGCCACTTATAAAACAAGTGCCATCCCATGTCATATTCAGGTTCTTCTTTTTCTTTAATTTCTAATATTTAAGCTGTTCCTTTCTGCACATTCAAATATTTCTTCAATCAGTTTTCCTTCTAGGCTTAGCTTTTGGGGGAGGGAAAATAAGGGGGAGGGGAAATTCTACCCCTGCCTACCAGCATCCATCGGTATTCATCTGGCTAGCGTCCTGTCCATGTGTGAGAGAGTGGAGGGCTGTTTGGAAAGTGAAACCGTATTTTCTGTGTGAGCAAGGAGGAGACAGCGAGGAGCCTGGGCGTGGCTTAGCTCAACCATTCTGGACTGAAGCTGCTTGGTGCTGTGAAAGTGTAAGTGAAACTCCTCTCTGTTTGTGTTTTGCATTTGGAAGAGATTTCTTTCCAGGTGGGGAGTAGAATTCCTTAGCATCAGAGCGTGTTAAATAATAATAATAATAATAATAATAATAATAATAATAATAATAATAATAATAATAATAATATAGGAAATACTCTAAATGCTCTGATGGTCATTTCGAAAAATCCTTTCTTAGTGAGCACCTAAGAAGCCAAGAGGAACAGACACGCCAAATTTAAAGTTTGTAGGCTTTACGCTTCTGGAGATTTTGTGATGAAGCGTGAGGGGCATTTCGCTTTTATATATAAAGATTGTAAGGCAGCTATCATGTCACTCCTGGCCCTTCTTTTCGTCAGACTAGACGCATCCAATTCCTGCCACCGTTCTTCGTCTGTTTCATCCTCCAGCCCCTTCATCCTCTTGGTTGCTCTTCTCTGCCACTTTTTCCAGAGCTCAACCTTGGCTTCTCTTCTACGTGTTCCTGTTGGAAGCGAAAAAGCCTCCCCAAACTTATCTTCCTTTCCTAATAAACTCTTGTTGGGCGGTATGTTCCTGTCTTTATCTACTTTACCTTGAGTCATTTGTTGTTCTCACCTAGCAACCGTGCGGTTATGGGACCTTGGAACAGGATCCCAGCATCGGATCTTGGGTTCAATTTGTCAGGGATCTATTCTCCCTCCCTCCCTGTTTCTTTTGACACACACGCACGCACATGTCAACACGTCAACTCAGACCTAATTGATCTGGCCGTCGAACGTTGAAAGCCACCAAGTCTGGGATTTTTTTTTATTTATTTGAATTTTAGAAAGCTGCGAGAGGCCAGTGACCCTCGATGTCCTGACGTCTTTCCCCCCCTCCCCGACTGACACGCGACCGAGGTGTGTGTGTGTGTTTCGTGGTCCTGTCTTCGTTCCTCCTTGATGCACCAATCCGCCCTCCCCATCACTTCTTCTTCCCCACTTTCTCTCTCTTGATCCCCTTGGCCAGCTCGCCAATCAGCCGCCAGTATTCTCCAAACTTCAGCTCCTGGTCGTTGTTGACATCCAAGCTTTTCATTTTCTCCTCCAGGTTCCCGACGTTCTTCAAAAAGGGGCAGGGGGGAGGAAAGGGGAAAAGAAAAGGCACAAAAGGGGAGAAAATTATTTTTTAAATGGGGGGGGGAAACACTCCCTGCCCCGCTTCTCCTAAAACAGGTGGTGGGATTTATCCGGTTCGCACCGGTTTCCAAGAACCGGTTGTTAAGTTTCCGAGCGGTTTCTTGAACTAGTTGTTGGAAGAAATCATTCTGGTGGAGATTTTTTAATCCCACCACTGGGTCCTCCCCTTCCCATTTCCCACCCCCCCTCCCTTCCCTTCCCTTCCCCTGGACAAGCCCACCTTCATAAGGTTGGGCAGCTGGAGGGTGACCAGCTCTTTAAACTCGCTGATGGTGAGGGTGTCCTTGTTGCCTTCACGGGAAGCACACTGGAAAAAGATGTCCACGACTTTCTCGATAGCCCTCTCCAGCTCGGTTAGGTCGCTGCTGGCCATGGCGGATCGGATCGGAGGACGGGGTGAGGCAGGCTGGCCAGAGAAGAGGAAGAGGAAGGTGGGGTGGGAGAGAAACAGTGGGGGGGGGGGGGGGGGAGGAGAAAGGTGGGGGGGGGGGGGTGATGAAGAAGAAAGCTGTGGGGATGCATTTTGTGAAGACGGGATTGAAAAGCAAGTACCCCAGGAGGTACTCCTCGGCTTACGACCGCGGTTGAAACTGGTCCCTCCGTCGCGAAGCAAGGGGGGTTAAGGGATCCTAAATATATCTGGAATCTGTCTTAGATTTATTCTGTAGCTTCCTTCCTTCCTTTTCTTTTTTCCTTTTTCTTTCTTCTTTTTCTTTTTCTTTCATCTTTAATCTATCTACTAATCTATCCATCCATCCATTTCCTGATCTTTTCTAACTGTTCTTTCTTTCTTTTTCTTTCTCTTCCCTTTTTCTTTTTCTTTCATCTTTACTCTAATCTATCTACTAATCTATACATCAATTTAGCAATATTTTCTAACTGCCCCTTCCTTCCTTCCTTCCTTCCTTCCTCTTTCTATCCTTTTTTAATCTTTAATCTAATTTACTAATCTTATCCATCCATTTACTAATCTTTTCCATCCAT